AAGGTTCTTGCCACGAGATTAAGGGGTGTTTTGGATGGAGTCATTTCAAAGACTCATAACGCTTTTATTGGTGGCCATCAGATTCTTGATTCAACCCTCGTTAACAGTGAGCGTATGGACCCGAGGATGAGTAGTGGTGTTTCATGTATCCTCTGTAAGCTTGACATTGAGAAAGCTTATGATCGCGTGATCTGAAACTTTTTGTTCTACATGTTAGAGAAAATGGACTTTGGGGAGAGATGGAGGAGATGGATTGAGTTTTGCATTTCTTCTGGGAGATTTTTAGTTCTAATAAACGGATTTCCAACTGGTTTCTTTACTAGTTTGCGGGGATTGAGACAGGGGATCCCTTCTCTCCCTTCTTGTTCATCATTGTCATAAGGCCCTCTTAGTAGGCTGATGGGGAGGGCCGTGGATATGGGTTTCATTAGGGGTTTCAAGGTGGGCAGGGATATGGCTCATCAGTTAGAGATATCCCACTTGTTGTTTGCAGAGGAATTTTTTATGGGATGGTTACCACTTGGTTATCTGGGAGAGTGTGTGCTTCCCTATCAAAAATGGAGGTTTGGGGATTCGGAGGCAAGATCTTTTCAACAAGCCTTTGCTGGGCAAACGGCTTTGGAGATTTGGGTGCGAGAGGTCCAAATTATAGAGGAGAGTCATTGCTTGACTTCGTGGGGAGGGAGATAGAGGGTGGTCGTCTCGGGAGGTGCAGAATCTAGCGGGCGTGGGTACTTGGAAGCTTATCCAGAAGGGTTGAGATGAGTTCTCCAAACGAATTCGGTTCAGATTTAGGAATGGGAGGCACGTCAGATTTTGGGGGGGATCATTGGTGCAGGGATTTTGTTCTGGTTCAAAGGTTCCCCCGACTTTCAAAAACTCAACGAACAGGCATACACTGGTGGCTGACTGTTATTGGCTTGATAAAGGGTGATTAACTTGGAATGTGTTGTTTCGTAGAGAGGTTCATGATTGGGAAATTACTGAGGTCATTGATCTCTTTACATTACTTTACAACCAGGTGGTAGAGGGTGAGGATATGGATGAGATGGTGTGGGTGGGCACACCTAGAGGGGTTTTTGAGCTTAGGTCTTTCTACCGGAGTCTGATGGTGATCCCAGCCAAACCTTCCCTTGAAAGGCTATTTAGAGGACAAAAGCCCCTTGAAGGTGGTGTTTTTCACTTGGACAACTGCCCTTGGTAGCATTCTCACTCTTGACAACCTAAGGGGAGACCAATTAGTTTGGTGGGTGCGGTGTATAAGATTATTGCGAAGATTCTGGCCAATAGGTTAAGGAAAGTGATGGATGGGGTCATTTCGAAGTCTCAAAATGCGTTTGTTGGAGGAAGACAAATTCTCGACCCGATTCTTATTGCTAGTGAATGTATTGATGCTAGAGTTAGGAGTGGTGAACCGGGGATTGTGTGTAAATTGGCAATAGAAAAAGCTTATGACCATGTGAATTGGGCGTTCTTATTGTATGTGTTAGAGAGGATGGGGTTTGGCACCAAATGGAGGGGTGGATTCATAAATGTATTTCGACCGCTTGGTTTTCTATTTTAGTGAATAGGTCACCAACAGGTTTCTTTGCAAGTTCGAGAGATTTACGTCAGGGGGACCCATTGTTCCCTTTTTTATTTATTATTGTAATGGAAGCCTTTAGTAGACTCATGAAAAGGGCATAGGTTCTGGGCTTTATTCAAGGTTTTGCAATGGGCCGTGCGCCAAATCAGATTTGTACATCTCACTTGCTGTTTGCTGATGACACTATTGTGTTTTGTGATGCTAGTGTGAATCAAGTGAGACACTTGAGGTGTGTTTTGGCCTGTTTTCAAGTGGTTTCGAGGTTGAAGATCAATATTGGGAAGAGTGTGATTGTTCCAGTACAGGATGTGGGTCATATTCATGAGTTGGCAGCTATTTTGGGTTGCGGAGTGGAGGTTTTTCTTATTTCTTATTTGGGGCTGCCATTGGGTGCTTCCTCGAGGAGAGTTGCTATTTGGGATCCAGTGGAGGAACGTTTTCAAAAGAGGTTATCTGGGTGGAAGAAGCAATATTTGTCAAAAGGGGGTAAACTTACATTGCTGAAGAGTACCTTAGCTAACCATCCTACATATTTCATGTCTTTGTTTCCAATCCATAAAACAGTGATTTGTAGACTTAATAAGATTCAGGGGAACTTTTTGTGGGGGGCGTAGGGGAGGAGTTTAAATACCACCTTGTGAAAGGAGAGAAAGTGTGCACCCCGATTCAAAGAGGAGGCTTGGGACTGCGCAGGTTTGAAATGTTTAACAAAGCTCTGTTAGAGAAATGATTATAGAGATTTGGATGCGAAAGGTCCGTGTTTTGGAGGCGTGTTATTGCTTGTCGGTTTGGGGAAGAGGAGGGAGGTTGGGTATCCAGAGGTGTGAATGCATCAGCAGGTATTGGGTCATGGAAAGGTATTAGGAGGGGGTGGGACAAATTTTCTAAGCGGATACGATTTCGAGTTAGGGATGGCAGTTTTGTGAGGTTTTGGACGGATGTTTGGTGTGGGGATGTGGCGTTGGCTTGTAGGTTTCGTAGACTTTATAGGATGGTTGAAGTGAAGCATGCGGTGGTGGTAGATTATTTTAGGTTTGGAATGGGAGAGCTAGTTGGGACGTGAGATTTCGTAGAAATTTGAATGATTGGGAGTTGGTGGAGTTTACAGAATTAATGGGATTAATTTATAGTCAAGTGGTGGAGGGGGAAGGAAGGGATGAGATGGTGTGGAAGGGGGACTCTAAAGGGGTGTTTAAGGTGAGGCTGTTTTATAAAAGTCTTACGAATTCGATAAGCAACGGGTTTCCTTGGAAGGTTGTTTGGAGGACTTCAGCACCAACAAAGGTGGCCTTTTTCACGTGGACAGCGGCACTTGGCAGCATTCTTACTTTGGATAATCTCAGGAAAAGACGCCAAATAACAGTTAATTGGTGTTGCATGTGTAAGAAGGCGAGCGAATCAATTAATCATCTCTTGTTGCATTGTAGAGTGGCAGCGGATGTTTGGAGTATGATGCTGAATGTTTTTGGGGTGGAATGGGTAGTGTCACGTAACACGATGGATATGTTAGAAGCTTAGAGAAAGAGTCAAGTGGAAAGTCGGGTTCGGAAGGCATGGAGGGTTGCACCTCTTTGTATTTGGTGGGGGTTATGGCATGAGAGGAATAGAAGATCTTTCGAAGGCCAGGAGTCGTCAGTGTGGGTTATCAAGGCGAATATTTTGCATTCCCTTTATTCTTTGGTTAATGGGAAAAATTACCCATCTGTAGATAGTTTTTTGGATTTTGTTGACAACTTATCGTTGTATTGATGCTTTGCGTTTTTGTTTTATTTGTTTTGTTAAGGGTTCGCTCCCCTCTGAGCGCGTTTGTTAATATATCTTTACTTATTCAAAAAAAAAAAAAAGGGGACGGCAGATAGTCATGAATTGGTGTTGTATGTGCAAAAAGACAGAAGAATCAGTGAACCACCTTCTCCTTCATTGTCTAGTGGCGAGGGATGTGTAGTCTTTGTTCTTGGTTGCTTTTGGCATGGCTTGGGTGTTTCCCGAGTCCATAGTTGACATGTTATAGGCTTGGAAAAGGTGTACAGTGGAGAGCCGAGCCAAGGATGCGTGGAGAGTCACACCCCTTTATTTATGGTGGGGTTTGTAGAGCGAGAGAAATAGGAGATCCTTTGATGGAGAGGAGTCCCCTATTTGGTCTCCCGAATACAATATTCTTTCTACTTTATTTTTTTAGGTCAATGGGGCAAATTGTAAATCTTTGGGGCATCTTTTGGACTCTGTGGATAAACCCATCTTAGGCTTCTTTGTATTCCTTTGGGAGCACTCCCCTCTTTAGCGCCTTTAATGAAATCTTACGTATCAAAAAAAAAAATTCTGATTCATAATCCAACACTCCATGCTCATCCAAAATTCCAACTCGTGCCGATGCCACAAGAATGTCAATATGAACCGTATGACTATATCAAAAGAGCATATGCAAGCAATATAAGTATCCCATCTGGGGTCATGAGTAGTTCACAAGATGAGAAAAACAATATAATAATTATTTCGGGTCGACAAATGCGTGCAAACAAATGGAAACCCAAAACTCAATCGTACTTATCGCAACCACCAACTTCAAATTCACTGAATTTGGCTTAGATACCCTAAGTTGGGTGAACGAACTTGTTTAAAACTGTGTATGAATTTCGCCCAAACAACCAGAGCAACAAGCTTGCACATCTAAATGTTAATTGACTATGAAATTTAAGTTCACCACTAAGTCTAATTGACTGAAAATTAAGTTCAACACTAAGTCTTACGCTCAAGTGATATCTCCTTCTCCTTCCAAATGGAAGGTTGATCTTCAAGTCCCCATTGGGGCTATAGTGGATGGGTGCCTAAGTAGTTTACTTATCAATAAATAAATATATAATAATCCGTGAATCCGCGAATCCGAGACCGGATCGGATTGCCACACCCACAGATCGGTGGCGGATTCAAAAAAATCGAATCCGTAACTCACGAATTGGGCTGTTAAAAATCCGATCAGATCCGTAAGTCCGATCCGTGAAATTTATATATATATATATATTCAAAGAATATATTAGTTAATTTAATCAGTTAATGATAATTTAATGGACTCTAAAGATGTATTAGTTAATAATTAGTTAAATATATGAATTAATATTAATAAATTAAAATTTTATCTATTGGGTTATGGTTAAAAGATAATAAATAATATATAATATTAATTATAAAAATAATAATGAATAATTTAGATAAAACCCAATCCACGGATTCGATCCGATCCGATCCATTATTACACGTATTCGATCCGATCCGATCCGTGGGATAACGGATCGATGCCGGATTAAGATTTGTCTAATCCGTTGGGAGCAGATCACGATGCCTAATCCGATCCGTGGCCACCCCTAGTTCCACCTAGCTGAGCATAATTTATAAACAGTTATATAACATGAACAGTTACCTGTTTGCAGCTTGAAAGAAATACAAGTATCCTTGAATTGAGATGTGCTTTCACAAAACTCCACAACATATCAAGCTTTTGATCGAGAGGAACAATTATTGCAGTTTGATGCAAGCGATTGGGAGTGGCAGTTTCACACTCCGCATGCGCACTGATGTACTCTGGATCCTTCAAACTGAGCCTTGCAAGATCTTGAACCAAGTTTGTCTGAGTGGCAGAGAAAAGCAATGTTTGCCTACGCTTCGGTAGCTGTGAAACTATCGCATTCAATGCGCTCTTAAATCCAACATCAAGAATACGATCTGCCTCATCAAGAACTAAAACCTGCCGTGGCCAAGAAAATACACCCAAATCAGCACCGAGTAGCGCAATAAAGTAGGTGTCTGGGAAACCAATCACATGCACACGCTCATGCACTCTCAGATATCAAAATACCATCATCATACATATTGATTATTCAAAAATTGCCCATATTACTTGCATAAAGATGGAAAATCTAGAAGAAATCCCACTGTAAAAATTTAAGGAGCCTTAACTTGAGTGTTTGATGAAATTGAAACTACCACTGAAAAAGAAATTTGTTTTGAATTAGTGGTGTTGGATACCTTAAAAAGCCAAGTATTTAGTATTGAAATTTATAAAAGGCAAATTTTTCTAAACATACTAAAACTTAAAACTTATACTAGAATTGTTTAACCTTTAGTGAAAATCACGTTTCCCCAACTTAAAAATACCTAACCCTTTTAAGTGAATTCTATTTTCAGCCCCTCTTTAGGGTAGGAAAGTTGACGTACAATGTAGATAAATAGCACAATATGCAGCAGAATAAGCAATGTTTTATACCGTGGAAGGGTGAGAAATACCAAACCCTAAAATCTGGACATTTTCCCATGTATGCTAGTATGGCTACACAAAAAGAATTGCAGCTCCATCCCAGTATCTTAAAACAGTATATTAAGAAAGCAAAACAAAAATTAGAATATGAAAGAATAACTTATGTTGACCTGAAGCTGTGAGCAATCAAAATTTGGAGTCTCATCCATGTGCTGAAGAAGCCGACCAGGAGTGCAGACCAAGATGTTCAACTCATTTACATGCTCTTTCTCAGCATCGACATCTTTGCGACCACCAATTAGGAGGCCAGCACTAAAACCGTGGTGCTTCCCAACAGATTTCAGTACTTCAAAAAGTTGGCCAGCTAGCTCCCTTGTTGGAGATATTATGATGCTGCCTACCCCATCCTCTGGACCCCATCTCACTCTGTATAACTTCTCTAAGACCTGAAAACAACAACAAAGTTGTGCATCAAGTGAGTTGGTTCTTTACGATGAATTAATGACTAATATCAACAAAGGAACAAACTTGTCTACTAGACCTCGGATGATACCAAAACAAGTTGATGTTCTTGAAAGCTCAAATATGTACGTATTTGTGTTTGTATGTATCTATATGTAGAGAGAGATCCTAATTATTTACCATTCATTGTTTCAAAGCCTTGTTTTCATTTTGTTTTGAATTTCTAAGAAATGAGGTCCCATCCAAACAAACTAAATAACTTAGCGGGGCACAGTTGAGCAGTTATTTCAATCACTATACAGTGGAAACAATGAATTTGTGAAATTTCAATTTCCATTCTTGTCCACAATTTTATTTACTTTTTGGTAAGTCTAATCTTTTTCTACATTATCTCAGCACCAAACAACAGTAACTGAACAATAAATGGAAGTGGTACCATGAATTTTTTATACATTGATTATTTTGATTGTGAAAAACTGTGTTCGGTAATATGCAGTCTAACAGAAACATGAACAGCCCAAAATGCAGAGTCTAACTGAACTAAAATTATTAGAACATTACAAGCAACCAAACAAGAAAAACTCATTAACATGAATGAAACCCTAAATTCACATAGAACTAACCGGAATGATGAATGCCAGTGTCTTCCCAGACCCAGTTTTCGCCGCGCCGAGGATGTCACGGCCGCAGAGCGCGTGCGGCAGCGAAGCCCTCTGAATTTCAGTCATTTTTATGTACTTCGATTGTCTCAACCCATCTTTTGTTTTCTGAGAGATAGGCAATTGACTGAATTTCTTGCACCCGGCGTATGAAGAGAACGAGTTCTCGTCCATTCGGCCGACTGGAGCGTCGGACGGCAACGGCGGTAGCGACAACGGGTTCGAACCTGAATCGGGTTTGCCGAATTCGGTCCAGGATTCGAGCAATTCGATTTCTTGGACCTCTGACAGTCGATTTTGCTTGCGGAATTGTTTGGATTTGGGTCGTCTCATTCTGAAGTTTCTGTGGCAACGCTAGGTTGTTTTAGAGTGATATCTAAAGGGCTTTCAGAATCAACCCAGGCTTGCAGAGTCCGAGACTTTGGATGCTCAACGAAGGATGATGCAGAAGAAGAAGAAAACCCTAGGGTTTATCGTGATTTCGACTCAATTTGAGTTTACAACACATTAAACCCCCCTAACTCAAATATGTTGGTTCAATTCTATAAACACGGATTGGGGGTGTAACTTGGGCGGACTAACTCAGCTCAACCCGAGTCTAATCCATAAATTTTAAAATCTGGATATATAAATTCACTGGGTTTAAGTCGGATTGGATTTTATCAAAACCCAATCTTATTTGGGTTGGGCTAGGGTTTAACCCGAACCCAACCCGAAAACCCAAATTAAATATAAATCCTTCTCTTCTCTCTTTATATCGATAGACTTCAGGTTTGAACAAACCCTAACTTTCTCTCCCCTCATCCTTCTCTCTCTCTATATCGCCTTCCTACCGATCTCCCGCGAAAGTCGAAACGAGCAACGAAACTCGCAACCTATCGGCGACTCCCTCTATCTCACATCTCTCAACAACTCCCTCACCTCTATCTCACATCTCTCAGCGACTCCCACTATCTCACATCTCTCAGCGACTTTCACGAAAGTCGAAACGCAGGTCTCGCCACTAGAAAACAGGTTTTCTTTAAATTCACACTATTTCCCTATCTGGGTCTTCGATTCTCAATGCAATTATCATTTCACACATATATGTTGTTCAATTTATGTGGATCATTTGATTTGGGCCTTTTTCTTTGTTCCAATACTAGGATTTTTTTGTGTGTGTGTCACTGTGTGTAATGCCTATCTGGTGGCAAAAGAAAATTTCTAATCGTTTGATTGATGAGTGCGAAGTGAGAAATGAGCATTTATAAGGAAATGAATGATTTTCTGGACTTGCTGATTACAGAGTCAAAAGTGGATCTAAGGGTATGGTTGGAAACTTTGAGACGTACCCTTGAACATTTCGGAGGGTTTGGTGAATCTGGAATCGAGGGTTGAGATACTACTGGTACTAGTCGTCGCCTTTCGATCATCTTCTCTTCTACTGTTGTTTTTTGTGAATGTGTCGTTGCTCTTCATGGCTTCTGGGCAATGACCATGATTTGTTTTTGATCTTCACTAATCTCTCTCTCGGAGCCGGTCTTCTTTAAACTTAAATCAAAGCTCATCACTCATTACATATAAACAAACATCAATTAGTAGCAAGTGAATGTTATATTCATTTTTTTCCTTTCCTCTCTCTTTTATTCTCCTCCTCTTTTTTTTATTTTGGCTTTTCCTTTCTTGTTTTTAGAATAATTATTATTAAAAAGAATAATAAGATATTGAGGTTATATTTTCTCTTTTTTTTTTTAATTTGTTTTTTATATATTTTAACTCAAAACAGTTTTTCAAAAAAATATACTATCAATCAAACAAAAATTCAAACTATTTTAGATTTTTTAATTTTAAAAATTCAATCTGTGATAGACACAGATTGAATAAAACATGTATTTGAGTGTATCCGACCACTGAAAATAAATAAAACATGTATTTGAGTATAATAGAAATTCACGTTTAAACACTGCTAAGAGTATCCAGTTTCTTTGTTTAAGATAACTAGTTACACTTTCATAGAATATGAATGATAGAAACCAATGTTCTAAAGTTGGTTATATGAACTAAAAATTTCAGACGTCTGACCAATAATAATTGAATCTAGAAGGGGAGAAGTTCATATGCTACCTTAAACATATTCATAGTAAGCCCCCCTAGTGGAATTCAGATCATGTATGGGAATGCCTTTGATAGGCTAGTCTGTCGTGGTAAAAGTTTTGTAAGTTTGATAACACTTGTGTTTCATAAAACTGAAAAAAGTTTTCAAAATTTTTGAATGGGAAGTTTTTAAATGAAATTAAAAAATAAATATTTTTAAAATTTTTGAGATAATTAAGGATTTAGTTTGACAAAAAAAGTTTTGTAAGTTTGAAAAATATTAATAATTAGTTTTAAAATGTCATTGAAAAGTTTTTTTTTTTTTTTTTGTATTGTTGCTGAAATATGTAAAAACACCCAAGTTACGTTCTGTTTGATAAAACTGAAAATTAAGCACTGAAAATTTTAAATACTGAATTTTAAGCGCTGAATGTATTAATCTGAAAACCTGTTTAATAACATTTTAATTTTAAATGCTGAATTCATTAAGATTGTTTATCATATACATAGGCTGAAATCTGAAAATTGTACATATTATATTTTTGCCCTTAATATCTAATACTCATAACAGTTTTATATTTATAATACAAAAATATTAATAAAATAATCACATTCACCCAATGAAATAAATAAATATGAAATTTTAAAATATATGGATTTTGTATTACATAATATTTATGTATGGTATCGAAAAAGGTGTTACAAAGATTAAAGAAAGTAAAATTTAAAATATATGAGTTTTGGGTTGAATAATATTTAGGTAGGTATTGAAAAGGGTGTTACAAAAATTAAAGAAAATACTTGAAAAAGACTTCTTATTTAGGAATAAAATTCTATTATATAAATAATTGATGGAAATTTTAAATCTGTTTGTATTACATAATATTTATGTAAGTATGGTGTTACAGAAATTAAAGAAAGTAAAATTTAAAATATATGTATTTTGAATTACATAATATTTATGTAGGATATTAAAAAATGTGTTACAAAAATTAAGGAAAGAGAAAATGAATTCTTATCTAGGAACATAATTCTATTATATATTTTCAGGGCCTTATGGGATTAGTCAAGGTGCGCGCAAGCTGGCTCAAACACCCACAATTACCAAAAATAAAAATAATAATAATTCTATTATATAAATAATTAATGAAAATTTAAAATATATAGGTTTTGGATATAAAAAAGAATGTTACAAAAAGATTAAAGAAAGTAAAACTTAAAATATATGGGTTTTGGTTTATAGGTTAATGAAAAGAGTGTTAAAAAAGTACGTCAATTCTTCTCTGAGAATAGAATTCTATTATATAAATAATTACATAATATTTATGTAGGGTATAAAAATGGTGTGGGTATAAAAATGGTGTTTAAAATATTTGAGAAAGTACGTGAAATTAAATAGAATTATGTTATATAAATAATTATTTTCTATAGCGAATCCATATAAATGGTAACCAAAAGGCTATATACGTTTTAAAAACATATTAGGTAAAGAGAAACCCTAAAAGAGATAACACAATAATATGAGGATACAGTAGTTATTAAAAAGTTATTTTTTAAACCCAACCACTTACCGTCTTCTGCGATAAGTGATAAGTAACATTTCTCATCCTTAAAATTTTGGCATCTTTTAAACGGTACTTACCATGTTAAGCGGTGTCCTAAGATTATATCAAACAAACTTATTTTTAAAAATCAGTTATCGTGTTCTGTATTCAGTGCTGAATTGTTTGGAAGGAGGTATGAAATTGGTATGATATTGGTTTGGATGTTTTGGTTTTGGTTTTTGGGCCAATATCATGTTTGAAGTAGGCTGATGTGATATTGAATAGTGTCATAACAGATATGAAATTTTGGCCAAAACCCATATCACCAATTTGGTGATATTGGGTGATATGGCACTATAGCGGTGATATCAGCCCAAAACAAAACATATCAACCCTCGTTTTTTACTGTAGTGGTGATATCAAGTATATAATATCGCATATCAGAACCTAGCCATTTTTCAGCCTCACTTTCTCTCTCTTCGCGCAACTTCTTGGAGGCAATTTCAGTTGCGATCCAAGTGTAGGTAACTCCATACACAACCTCTTCCACCACCGATCTGGCAGAGCTTCTCCACCAGCGAGAACAACCATTTTCGCCTTTCATTTCTATGTCTTCTCGCAGGTCGGTCGAGGCGATTTCATTTGCGCCTCTCATTTCTCTCTATTCTCGCAAATCGGGGTTGGTAGACCACAGATTAATCTTTTTGTCTGCAAATCTTTCAAAAACAAAGACCAATTTCATCTCGGGCTTGGCTTTCCTATCGTTTTTCTCTATTCTCTGAAACCCTAGCTCGGTGGCCAACAGATCGAAGGTATTCATGAAACGTTTTACCACTATTCACAAAACGTTTTGACACTGTGCAAAACAAAACATTTTTTATCAAACACATTTTTTTCACGTTCACTACTACTGTACTAATACCAAAAATAAAATGCATATCAAACAAGCCCTTATTTTCTTTGTGTTCTGAAAATGTGCATAGCCGCTGTCATCAGTTTACTAATGGTCAGAGCTGATCAACGCAGATATAACAAGATTTTTTTTTAGCTTCATATAATAAAAATGCCCTTCAAGCTGTTGTGAAAACACTTTTGTCCCATACTTGTCATGTGAAAAGACACTTATACCCCTAAATAAGTAAAAATAAAAATTATTAAAAAAACTAAGTTGACAAAAATGCCGTAAATTGGGAGTATAAATGTCTTTTTGCACAATAAACACCGGACAAGTGTTTTCACAGCAATTTGAAAGACACATGTATCGTATAAAGTTCTAAAAACTTGTCACATTGTATTTATCATCTTCAACATCTAGTGAAATTGATGACATGAGTTAACTTGTTACACATGTGTAAGTCCCTTCTCTAATTTATTAACATTTTTTAATTTTTTTAAATATAAAATGACTAATAAAGTATCATTAAATCCAATGATGAATTAACAATTGAATTTCCTCGTTTGCACTATTGGGCCTCTTGGAATTCTCAACTGCTAACTCTAGAATTTTCAACAGTTACAAACTTAAAAATTACATGATGATCACCTCTTGAAGTTCTCAACAGTTACAACTATTTATTCTAAATGAAATGTTGTGTGTCCTGTAGCGGAACGAAGATTGGGATTGTTTGTGGGTGAGAAAAACCGTCTTTCTTGTACTACGGCTTGTTTGGGGAAATTTTTAGTTTCTAAAATTCCTTCCACTACATCGGTTTTGAAGAATGCATTTTGTTGAAAGGAATTTAAAATAAAAATGTTATTTGGTAGGTAAATTTTTTGAAGCTCTTTTAACTATTAATATCCTTAATGAACCATGAATAATAACAAAGAATTGAATTGGGATGTAGTGAAGAAAAAAAAAAAAAAAAACCATAATTAAAGTGATGGAGTGGCGACGATGCAGTAACGATTAATTAGCATAGTCAAGATCCAAGTATACAAATTCACCCAATCTACATGATAGAAGTGTTTTTTTTTTTACATGATAGAAGGTGAAAGAGATGGAAAAAGAAAAGAAAAGAAAAATTAAAAGTAAGAGAGATATGACAGCAAAAATATCCCATTTTTTATTCTTATTTATAACTATAAATTACTTTCACAGCGGAATGGGTAGTCTTACAAATATATATATATATATATATATATATATATATATATATATATATATATATATATATATTGTGTGTGTGTATATATATATTGAGAGAAAGAATAGTTATTTAGAATTCTACATAGTGTTGAATTTTGAATGAGAGTTCATAAATTTTGTAACTCATCAATCTCTTTGTTCTTCCTTTGTTGAATCGTTTTTTTGTGAAATTTTGCTCAATATTATTATTATTATTTTTTGTTGGGTAGAGAACCAACGAAGAAGATGATACAGAAAGAGAAAGATAAAAGTTTGCAATGAAATTCATAAATAGAAATAGAAATAGGTTAAATAACGGACAATATATGAATTTTATATTTATTACTTAAAAAAGTGCGTAACTTGCGGAAAGTAGATCAGGAAACATGTTTTATTGGCTTTGGTCAATCGGGCTTCTAAACCACCAAGGCTTTTTAAAAGTCCGTTTTCTGAAATTTTACCAAACATTCTTTAGCCCTGTTTGGGGGAGCTTTCAATTTTTAAAATTCCTTCTATTAAATCGGTTTTGGAGAATGCATTTTGATTAAAGGGATTTAAAACAAAAAAGTTGTTTGGTGGATGAATTTTTTGAAGTTCTTTTAACTATCAGCATAATTTAACTTGACAATTATATCCTTAATAATCCATAAATAATAGCATAGAGTTGAATTGAGATGTACAAAGAGGGGAAGGAAGGGAAAAAAAAAAAAAAAAAACATAATTAAAGTGACGGAGTGAAACTGCCTAGGGTACATCAACGATTAATTAACATAGTAATGATCAAGGTATACAAATTTACCCAATCTATATGATAGAATTTTTTTTTTCCTTATTAGAAGTTGAAAGAGATCATGGAAAAAGAAAAGAAAAATGAAATGAAAGAGAGAAATGGCAACAAAAATATCCCATTTTTGTTCTTATTTATAGCTATAAATTACTTTAACAGTAGAACGATAGCCTTAAAAAAGAA